AACTATAGCAATTAATGGAATAATTGAGTGCAAGTTAGATCTGTATTGAGTGCAGCTGGAATTGTACAACCATCTGAGAACAGAATTTGGCCTTGAAGTAGTAATGAGGTACTCATTCCTCCAATTTTATATTCACATCAATCAGACTACATAGAAATTGAAGACAAGGCATACGAGACATTCATCAAGTATGTTGCAATTTAGGCTGGAGGTATGTACTTGCACAATAGCAAGCCTGATTTAGGACTAATGTTCCTTTGTATCCAAGAGCAGTTAGGGATATTTATTGATGCTGGAGTTGATTGTTTTGGACTGAAGTGGTATCTGCAAGAAGGAGCTTACAGCAGTCTTAATCAAGCAGCAATTTTTTTTCATCACCCATTTTAGCTTTATAAAGAGACCTTTATAATATTTCTGAAGTGTGCCTGGCATATCTGCTTAGCATTCCAATTGCTTCATGCACTGTCAGTGATCTGTTTTAGGTGTAGTGTATGATGGGGTTTATTTGGCATGTTTTCAGTTGTAGTTTACCTAGAGCACATCTTCAATACAAAATTTGAGCAACAATAGAATTTCACCATTCTCAACAGAAGGGGACAACATTGAGCTCACGACTCAAACGTGAACAATTTAAGCAGGACAAGAAAGATGGGTTTAAAAATAATTCTAGGTGGTTCTACAAACTGAAATTTCCAGTAGTTTCCCTAATTACAAGTCTTCAATCTTGCAACTAGATTAACTAGCATAAAATTGATTTAACTGTTACAATAGTCATAGAATCATAGAAAATTAGGGTTGGAAGGGACCTAAAGAGGTCATCTAGTCCAACCCCCTGCTCAAAGCAGGACCATCCCCAACTAGATCATCCCGGCCAAAGTTTTGTCTAGCTGGGCATTGAAAACATCCAAAGATGGAGCTTTCACAACTTCTCTAGGTAAACTGTTACAGTGTTTTACTACCCTCCTAGGGAGAAAATTCTTCCTAATATCTAACCTAAACTTCCCTTGCTACAACTTGAGACCATTGCTTTTTGTTCTGTTATCTGCCACCACTGAGAACAATTTAGCTCCATCCTCTTTCAAACCCCACTTTAGGTAGTTGAAGGCTGCTATTAAATCCCCCCTCAGTCTTCTTTTCTCTAGACTAAATAAGCCCAGTTCTCACTGTCTTCCCTTATAAGTCATGTGCCCCAACCCCCAAACCATTTTTGTGGCCCTCCATTGCACTCTCTCCAATTTGTCCACATCCTTTCTGTAGTGGGGGGCCCAAAACTGAACACAGTACTCCTGGTGTGGCCTCACCAATGCTGAATAGAGGGGAATAATCACTTCCCTTGACCTGCTGGCAACACTCCTACCAATGCAGCCCAATATGCCATTAGCTTTCTCGGCACTGAGGGCACACTGCGGGCTCATATGCAGCTTATTGTCTGCTACAACTCCCAGATCTTTTTCTGCAGAGCTGCTGCCCAGCCAGTCAGCCCTCAGCCTGTAGTGATACATAGGATTGTATAAACTCCTATGACTCATTTTTATGATCCTCCCTATCAGTGTGGTCTTCTGAGGCTGTCATGTATGCTTTAACAAAGGCAGGAATCAGTCTTAGTGGTAGGGGAACAAGCCCATTGTAAGGCAAGACTCCTTCCTGCCAGTGCTTTCTTTATCAACTGTTTGTGCGAATTACTGATCTGCAGTAATTTTGCCACATGGTTGCAATATAGCTGAATACAGTCTTGTTTTTTATCCTGTTGTTTCTTTCTTATGTTTGCTTCCCTATTTAATGCGATTCTATTTTAAACTGTTAGTCACTGACACAACTTACAGAAACAGCTGTCAGAGAAAAAAAGTTTTCTTTTTGTTCTTTTATCTAAAGTGCAGGGTGGGTGATTGTGAGTAAGCTTATCCCACCTCTCTAGCTTGATGTGAATGGACCTCACTTGGAGACAGGGAACAGCAAGTTTATTTCCATTTTTGCTCAACTTGAAGATCTGGCAGGTGAACTGAATTCTACCCAAATCTATAATGACAGTTTCCTGTTTTCTAGGGATGAAGGGACATAACAACACTGCCTGTGGCACTTATGCCATATGCATTACGAGTAGGCCTTTTTGACTGAAAATAAGGAGTATCAGATGGGAGCTATAGGCAGAGAGACAGGAATCTTTCAGGGATAATGTTAGGAATAGTTAAGCTTGGGTTGAGTTTTTAACAAAGAAGGAACCTGGGAAGAGAGTAAGTCTGGTGTATGAAAGTAACCTCGTGATGAAAGTAACTTGCTAACAGATGCAGAGAGCAGAGGAGGATTTGGGGTAAGTTTATGGAGGTTTTTTTAGATAAAGACTGTGCAGGCCGCCTCCCGATCCCATCCATGTCACCATGAGCGGGCCGGGAGCGATATGCAGACCCGTCTTTGCTCACGCGGGCTGTGGCCAGCAGCCCGGGCACGCGGGGTCGGAGAGAACCGGTGGCGAGCTAGAATTAGTTACGGATGCGTAATGGTTGATTTAAAGATTATTTACTTACACCAAAGATGGTCGTGGTGTAGGCTGGAAAACTTGCTTGAGTTGCGGTTACAGACAGGAAAGAAGAGAGGCAGACAAGAGCTCTAAACTCGCGAACTCTAGCCCAATCCGGCTGAAGGCTCTAAACACGCGAGCCCGTCGTGTCAACCGAAGAAAGTATTTGTACGGAAAAGCTCTGACTCACACGAAGTTTGCTAGGCTCCGTGGGTTCTTGTGCTCTGAGGTAGTCCGGTCGTCTGAACAACTATGTCAGTTGTTCCAGCTGGCAAGGAATAGACTCACACGAAGTTTGCTAGGCTCTGTGGGTCCTCTTTTTGCGCGCAGGGAGGGATACGTCTAGGAATCTATCAGCGACGGGGAGAGGCTAATTAGACCCCTGTTGCCTTTTAAGAAAAGCGTTGGGTCCGTAAGGATCCGCAGCGCTTAGAGATCTTCACACAGTGTGAAGTCTCCTCCTCCTGGTGTTCGTGGAGTCCTCCAACTTGGGCGGAAACCACTCAAGCCTTTTATACGGCTAGCAAGCCAATTGCTAGCCACCACGTGTGAATAATTTAACTCAAACCAATAATGGGGCTCAAATTAGCATACAAATGGCGGGAACTCCTTGCACCGTGTATTTCTTGGATGCAAAAAGAAATGCACCATGCAAAGAAAGCTTCAAATTGGCGGGAATACTCTTTTGCACCGGGGTTCTCTTCTGCAGCAGAAAACTCTATCGTGCAAAGAAGCTGCAATTTAGCGGGAACATAATTTAGCAGTGCCGAAGCGCACACAAACAAAAAACCCCACAACTTTGGGTTGTGACAAAGACTAGGAATTTGAAGTAATACACAACAGAAATATGGTATACGTGTCACTGGCTGCAGCTTCCGTCCATGGGCCTGATTTCTAGAGCACTTGCAGCTCTTGGAGCTGTGGGTCCTCTTGTGACTTGAGAAACAGGAACTCTTTGGTTCAGAATCCAAACATTGTGGCTCTTCTCCATGCTATGGCTGTGAATTTTCTAGGCAGAATTACTTTGACCGGCTTGCTTTGCAGTAGTGCCTGTCTTCAGGGAACAGACAATGGCGCAGGTGTTCTCCAGAGCCTCTCTGCTTTTGATTGTCCAACCAAGTTTTGTGACTTGCAAGTACGCTGTGTCATCAAATCAAAATTGTATGATTATGTATGGAGGTGTGAGAGCACCCTGTTAGTCACAGTGAGCGAAATACAGCCTCTCTGTCATCTGGTACGTCCTTGAAAATTGCTTTGTAAATAAAAGCTACTTTAAAAAGTCTGACGCATGCAGTGGCTTGCAAAGGAAATTGCCCTTAAAGTCATATGTAATATTTCCAGGCTGATCTATAATTGTTCCTTTGTGTTCCTGTCTCCACAGTCTAGTCTGGAGGAGGGGCAATATCATTTGTCTGAAACTCTTGTAAAGTGTTTTCATATTTTACCAAAGTGCTGCATGAGCAGCTCATATGACTTACTGATTGACTTTGCAAGATGTCGTCTTTAGGAAGTGCAACAGTCATGCAGTAGAGAAGCTAACACAACAGTTATGGGCAGTTCCCCCCACCCTCTTCCCCACCTACTTTTCATTGTGCGAAAAACATGTCAGTAATGGTGAAATATTGCTTGTGTCATCAAGATGGTTCTATGCACATTAGTAAGTGTTGTGAGAAGCTAACTTTGCTTAGGCTGTGAATCAGGTTCTTGGTCACAGGCGCTCATAATCTCCTCTTTGCCATGGAGCCCTCAGCCAGCCGCTGGCCCCCATAAAGTGCTTCAATGCCATTAGAGGATGAGCTAGTTCAGCATGTTCCCTCTCTCATTCTCTCATGAGGGGACCATGAGCTGTGGGGTGGGGAAGTTAAGAGAAGACAGTGGTGCAGCAAACACTGTTACTGAAAGATCACCTGTAGGTTCTAGTTCTTCTCATTGGCTCAGATGGAAGGTTTGGTTTTCACACAAATATCTTATCCTTGCAGGCGGGACTGAAGACAAACCCAGGATGTGGGTAATTTACAGGCCAAAACGGCAGTAGTAGCAAAAGCAGAGTTATGATGGGAGGGTGTTAGTCCAAGGAAGGTTGTCTGAAGCTAGCTTTCATAGGTTAACTTTCAGTGTCAACCTCCTCCCTTTGTCCACTAAGCAGGGAAATTGTGTGTGGGTTCTTTGACTGATCCTAGTGTACATCATATTTTACTGCCTAATCCTTGCCCATACATTTTATTTGTTTAGATTACCTACTTAGCTACTAATTATTTAAGATTTCATTTGGACTTCATTATGACTGTGTCAGGGCTTGGATTACATTTCTTCAAACATGTTTACTGTAAAATCAGTTTATACTCTGGCCAAGAAGTTGGCTAAATACCAACCACCATAAGATAAGAAACATGTTTTCCATCTCAAATATATGATTACTGTTACATCTAGGTTTCTGCAACTTAATGTGTATCTGTTCCCATTTTTGGTTAAATCTTATTTTAAGGTCTGCAGAATCTGGGGATTTTTCCTGATGCAGACAGAGTTTTTCAGATGAACCAGTGGTAAGTGTAACTGTAAAAAATTGTAGCCACATGAAAGGTGTATTACATATTAATACCTAAAAAATTATCCATATCCAGAACATAAATTTGGCAAACCTTGCATTACAGAAGGAGTAGCATTTATTTCAAGTACCTGGATTTGGATATACCAGTATATGTTGGTATTAGAAGCTTCTATGAATTGAATAATCAAGCAACTATATATTCAGGCAACTGATGTATTTAGAAGTGAGGTGAGGCATAGAAGCCTCAGCCAGAACAGAGAGGAGGAAGAATGAGCACTTGGTTTATTTTCTTAAAGGGCTACACACTAACAAATACATTCCAAACTAGTTATGTTCCTTGGTGCCATACATGTATTGTAATTTATTGGAGGTGGGGCTAGTAGAGACCTAATCATTAGGTTGCCAATTTCCATTATAAAAGTTTCTGGCACAATTTTCTGACACAGT